AAATGCAAATCAAAACTACAATGAGGTATTACCTCCCACTCGTCAGAATGGCCATCATCAAAACTCTACAATATATAAATGCTGGAGAGTATGTGAAGAAAAGGAATCCTCTTGCACTATTGTTGAGTATGTAAATCGATAGAGCCACTATGGATAACAGTAAGGAGATTTCTCAAAAAGCTAGGAATAAAACTTCCATATGATCCAGCAATACCACCTTAGGCATATACTCCAAGAAAACCATAATTGAAAAAGACACATGTACTCCAATGTTCATTGCAGAACTATTGACAATAGCCAGGACATGGAAGCAACCTAGACATCCATCAACAGATAAATGGATAAAGAAGTTGTGTTACATATATACAATAGAATGTTACTTAGCCATAAACATAATGGATTTGAGGTGGATGAACCTAGAGCCTATTACACAGAGTGAATGAAGTATGTCAGAAAGAGAAAAACAAATATATATAAATGCATGTATATGGAATTTAGAAAAATGGTATTTGATGAATCTATTTACAGGGCAGGAATAGAGATGCAGGCAAAGAGAACAGACTTGTGGACTGAGCCAGGGGAGAGTCGGGTCAGATGGATTGAGAGATCAGTATTGACACATATATATTACCATGTGTAAAATAGAGAGTTAGTGCCGTATAACACAGGGAGCTCAACCCAGCATTCTGTAACACCTAGAGGGGTGGGATGGAGTGAGAAGGTAGGTAGAAGGTTCAAGAGGGTGGGGACATACGTATACTTGTGGCTGACTCACACTGTTTGGCAGAAGCCAATACAAGGTTGTAAATAGTTAATTGCCCTCCAATTAAAAATTTAAAGAAAAACAGAAAAATGTTTCCATTCCTAAAATGCAAGCTCAGTAGCTTCAGTTCAGTTCAGCTCAGTTCAGTCTCTCAGTCATGTCTGACTCTGTCCAATTCTGTGCAACCGTATAGTCTACAGCCTGACAGGCCCCTCTGTCCGTGGGACTCTCCAGGCAAGAATGCGGGAATAGGTTGCAATGCGCTCCTCCAGGGGATCTTCCCTACTGAGGAATCGAACCCACATCTCTTAAGGTCTACCTGCATTGGTAGGCAGGTTCTTCACCACTAGCGCCGCCTGGGAGTTACTGATTCAGTGACTGAGTGATTCATTCCACAAACAACAATTATTTTAGGAACTGTGCTAGGTGCATGGCATACAAACATGAATAGCAACAACAACAACAAAAATCTGTCCTTGAGGGAATTACCAAGATTATTTATTCCTTAATTCAGCAAACATTTATTGACTCTGTTGTCATGTGACAGTTTAAGGTTCTGGGAAAACAGTGATGATTAAGATTAAATTACTATTAACAAAGAACTGTTTCCAGAAATGAGAATAAACAACTAAAAAATTTATAGTCATGGGTAATTTAGTAGAATTGGGGTCAGCAAATTTTTTCTGTAAATGATAAGGCAGTAAATATTTTGGCTTTTGCAAGCCACATATGATTTCTGTTGCATATTCTGCTTTTTTTTAAAAGCCATCCTTTAAAAATATAAACCAACCTTTGCTCCTTGGCTATATTTGTCTACAGTTTGTGGACTCTTATAATAGATGAATACAGGATTTTCTGGAAGTCAAAAGGAGACAACAACACTTTACAGGCTGGGAGGAGGGAAAGGGCCTTGGAAAGCAAACCAGATGGGCTGTGCTGGATATAGGGGGAGGGAGACAGCTAGTAATCAGGGTAGAGGGAAGAGCTTTACCATGGCACTCAAGTAGCTCTTCCATGTTTATTACTTGTTTATCTGTTATTTTTAAATATTCCAATTTTCATTCCCCCTCAAATCTCCAGTCATGCTAATGGATCATCCCTATCAGGAAGTCCCAGGCTCCCACAGAATGCCAGTTAGATTTCTCTAGTATCTCCACCAAGAAACATTCAGTATCTCACCAGGCTCTGGTGCTCAGGCATGTGCACTTCAGCACTTTCACACCCTTGCACACTTCAGGAAAATTTGGTTTCAGTTGCTTATTCTTACAAATTTGTGTTACTTTAATGAAATGAATCTCTCAAAGATGCAAATAATTGATTTTAAGAGAACAAGGCCTGCATTATCTGTTGTGTAGTCTCAGTTGTTTGTTCTGAGATACTTGTTTCTCTATTCTGATTCAAAGTCACAAAAATACATATTTTACATTGGACCTTTATTTTGCTTTTTAATTAAACAGATCTTATCTACATGGCAACAGTTATAGACTTTTTCCATCTTCAAATGTGTTCAAACAGAATCAAGATTCAGGAAACTGGGTCTGGCCAGGAACTGGCCACAGGAATCCCAGGAAGTGGCTGGTACAATTCTCAGTGTACCTCCTTAACCCTTTGAAATGAAGAACTTATGGAAGGTTTTAAAAATTATTACTTCCAATTCCCTCAAAATATAAAGATTCTTCTTATTTAACCTCACTACGGCAACTTAATCCATAGAAATGATTATTTTCAAATATTATCTTTTTTCTGGTTAATGTATTTTTGCTTTTCATTAATACCTTACTATATACTGGACATTAATTTAACCTCTGAGACTTGATTAGCAAGCTAAAGGTCTTGCTTATTAAAAATGGTCAATTTTCCCAACTTAAAAAATCTAGATATTTGAATATCTTAATATGCTCATTTATCACCAACCCCCAAGGAAGCATCCAGGACTTATTGTGTAGGACATGAATAATTTTTATAAAAACACAGTTGCTGACTGTGTCATACATCCATGCAGCTTTATAAAACAAAGCAAATGATTGCCATCAATTACAATAACCTCACTAGACAAGACTGCAATTAATCTACAGCTCTTCAGATAAATGACTGTTCCATTGTGCCAAGGAAAATGCCTGACATTAATTGACTTATCACGATCTGTAATGATAGATGGGGCAGATGGCAATGTGATTATTCACCGTCAACAAAATAAACACATGCTTTGTTGCTGAAGCGTCTACTTGGGTCCTCTCAGAGGATAACCCCAAATAGAAACCAAACGAGGCTCTGAAAATAGCTCAAAATAAAAATAAAATGTTAACATACAGGATGTAATATAGTTACTTCACTGAGGCTAGCCTTCAGCAGAATCCAACTGAAAAACAATTCCTCTAAGGAGATCATAGGTTAGGTAGGAATTTGGCATTAGAAGGTGCATTAAAGCCCATGTCCCTTTGGAAGACAACCCAAATCATTCCTAGAATTGTTTCCTACAGATATAGGAAGGAGAGTCAGAGTCCTGCTCAGCCTGGTCCTCTAGGCAGCCCTTACTAACAGATCACAGATGAAATCCATGCACAGTGCCTTGACACAACTTAAGGCCTTTGCTATCCCTCATTTCCTGCTTTATCTTCACTGTCTATCAACTATTGAGTACTTCTGGTGCTCCTTACATTTTTAATCCCACCTAATTTTCAAAACAACTAGAGAGGGCTCTAAACTCAGCTTTAGAAGGATCAAGTAACCATATAAAGGGCACACGATTAGTGTGTACCTTTGACTCCCAAACTTAAAATTGTTTTGCATTGCTTCTCTTCTCAGCCCAGTTCAAAGGGCACCTCCTCTGTGAAGCTTACTCTGAACCCTTCAATAAAAATTTGTCATTTCTTCCTTAAAGTTAGCCAGGGCCCTGTTACATCTCCATTACAGCAGAGAGTGCAGGCATGCTCAGTTGTGCAGTTGTGTCCAACTCTTGTGAATCCATGGGCTGTAGCCCACCAGGTTCCTCTTTCCACGGAATTTTCCAGGCAAGAACAGTGAAATGGGTTGCCACTTCCTACTCCAAGGGATCTCCCCAACCTAGGGATTGAACCCATGTCTCCTGTACTGGCAAGCTAATTCTTTACCACTGCACCATCAGGAAGACCCTACAGCATGGCATTATACTTTACTGATTTGAAGATAGCATTTCTTTGAGCTCCTCTGTGGTAGGAGCTCTGTCTTTATTTTATCTTATTTTTAATGTCCATGTCCCTAGTAACTAGCACAGTACCTAGTTAGGTCTTCAGTTGATATACTTTGAATGACCATGAAAATCTGGCCACTGTCCTCATTAAGCTTGCAGATCTCTTTCTCAGTATGTGAACTTACTATATTAAAAACAATGCCAAGTTTAAATATGATCTTGATTAAAAATATTAATCAATATCAGTCAAGACCAAATCAATAGTGAGATACATACTTCTGTTATTTCAAGAGGGTACTCTTGAAATCAGTTATTGAGAACTCTTAAACAGAAACCCATTTACAGGGTACTTAGCATATAAGGATGCCTGACCTCTAATGATAACCACCCTCACATGTAAGGGGGGCAAAACAGGTCAAATTAACTACACCCTGCTTGTCAAGTGTCATAACACATATGATATTCATTTAAATTGTAGCTCTTGTCTATAACCGAAGGAGTAATTGGTTCACTGATGTGGTCTGAATTCTGTCTGGGTCAATGAACATGATGATGCTCACATTAATGGTGGCATACAATGACCTTTCCATTCTAGGGAAACTCAGACTATTTAGCTGCCTGAAATTTACTTTGCTATAAGTTATAGTTTTGTGCGAATAAGACCCATTCTACCAGAAGGGAGAATTATGGAATTTATGTGAACACATGTGACATATAGAAGACTGTTTGCTCAGATAGTGTGAATATTAATGAAGACATACATAGAAGGTGAGGGTTTAGGGTTGAAATAATGTTCTGGTGATATCTTAGGGCATTAGTCACAAGGGAGCTTCACCAGTGTCTCAGGAGGAACTTTCAAGTATCACTGTGGTTTCCCTGGAAAACACTGGAAGATCATTATAAACATCTGTATCAACTTGCAAAAGACAGATGGAGAAGGGAGGCACAGATCTTCTTATTTCACAGATTCAAGAGCAGTCTTTCAATCTGTCATTCCACCTTGGATATAAATAGGCATCACATTTTATTAATTGGCACTTACTCATACTACTTCAATAACCCACATACCTCCCCAGAGAAGGCTTGTCCGTTGAGGAGGTGCTCTGACCCCTGGCTATCCTCACTCCCAAAGTGCAGCCGGATCTCCTCCAGCCGATGGCTGTATGTCATTGGCCCTCCTGATATGTTGACCAAGTGCTCCTTGTCCAGACGCAAGGACACATGCCTTCCAGTGTTGTACATGGTTCCACTGACCTGCAAGACAACGGGCAACAGGTCAAAAAAGGCTCTTCTTCCATTTCTCAGTTTCTCACTCAACTCAGCATGGTGTTTAGACCAATCCCTTTTGTTTCTTTTGGATAGCAAGACATTAAGCTAAGTCCACATACAGAGTAGGAAGTGACAGGCTTCCCAGAGGGCATTCCTGTCTTACACGGCCTCTATGGTACTTTCTGTGAGGCGTAAGCCACATTGTCAATTAGGAACCTGAGGTAGAAATTCAAAGGAGACCTCCTCAACTGTGACTAATATTTTGGCCACTGCACCTTATAAAGAATTAACTTGGCTTCTTACCAGAAATATTTGGAATGGAAAGATGGTAACGATAACCCTATATGCAAAAACAGAAAAAGAGACTCAGATGTATAGAACAGACTTGTGGACTCTGTGGGAGAAGGCGAGGGTGGGATGTTTCAAGAACAGCATTGAAACATGTATATTATCTAGGGTGAAACAGATCACCAGCCCAGGTTGGATGCATGAGACAAGTGCTCAGGGCTGGTGCACTGGGAAGACCCAGAGGGATGGGGTGGAGAGGGAGGTGGGAGGGGGGACCGGGATGGGGAATACATGTAAATCCATGGCTAATTCATTTCAATGTATGACAAAAACCACTGCAATGTTGTAAAGTAATTAGCCTCCAACTAATAAAAATAAATGGAAGAAAAAAGAAAAAAAAAGTTAAAATCTCAGGTATGAGAAATTGAAGAAAGCAATTAGTAAGGATGAGATGTTACAAAGACCAAGAGAGAGATGAGGAAGATAAAATGAGTAAACAGGAGCAAACTCTACAGGGAGACTGAGGCTTAGGTCTGAAATCTCAAACATCCAGTCTGGAATGTCTTGTTTTAGGTCCTTCTCTTACCCTGTAGAGAGTCAGAGTGTTGATCTGTCCTTGCAACTCACGGCCTCAATGTTGAGTTAAAGAGTTTCATACAAGTTTCTCATTTCACAGATTCTTATTCCATGTTGCTTCAGCCTGTGCAAGCTGCTAACCTTAGTACTTACTGTCTCTTTTCCTTCTTTCTTCTTTAACTTGATGCTCACTTTCATTTTCTTGACTATGACTTTAGTGCCTCTCAACACTTGATTCTAAAACACTGAAATCTACCTGGAACTTCATTGCCTTGGTTTCCTGGGTCAACCTAGCTCTAGGAGCAGACTGAAAGTTTAAAGGAAACTTTGAATGGGTCTGGATGATATGCTTCTGGGCTACTGGTTGCTGAGCTACTTGGATTTTCTACCCATTTACTCTGACTTCTTTGGGTTCAACCCTAGGGACTTTTTAAGGGATTCACATAACTTCTGATAACTTCATTAGAAAGGTTTTTCATATATTTGCTCTATAGCATTAGCCTTACCTGCCCCTACAGTTCCCTAACACCAGTCTTGTGAATGATTTGTTATTTTAGTCCTACAGATTTCTCACTGTGGCAGAGACAGCAGTGCTCATTAAATATTTCACTGACTTATTATTACACCACCTTGCTATAAGGTAGAGCTCATGTGACTGATGTTGGCCATGGTCTGTGAGGGGCCATGACAAGTGTAATTTCCATGCTGACACAGTGAAACACTTATGCACAATTCTCCAGTCTCTTTCTTCACCTGATGTATCAATCAAGGGGGCAATATGGAAATATGTAAATGTGGTACAGCTACAGGATGGAACCTGTGTCAGCCTGGGTCCTTGGCAGATTATTGGCAGATTGCATAAAATGGTTAGAATTCTTCCTCTCCCTGTAATTACTCTACTTACAATGTGACCTTGTAGCTACTCACATCAAGATAGGAGTTTTCTCCTTCACCCCTTGAATTTGGACAGGTCTTGTCACTTGTTGGATACAACATTCTAATTCGAAGAGCAGGCTTTCAGAGACCTTGAATGTGTCCTTGCTCCTTTTCAGAAACTTGAGACCAACATACAAACAAGCCTGGGCCAGCCTGCTAGAGCATGACACCAGAGTGAGGAGAACCATCCCAGTAGAACCCATTTTAGACTGGCCATACTATGACTGGTCCAACAGCTGACTGGCTTAGTCTGGCCTAAACCAGAAGAATTTTCCACAGACCATAGCTTTCTATGCCCTGTGGAGCTAAAACAACAATTGGCTGTTTACAGTACCTAAGCTTTGAGATTTGTTATAGAGCAAAATATAACTGACATATATTAAGCTAATCATCCTCTCTGTCCTGTGAATCTGGAACTATCAACAAAAACTCTGGACAATCTAGAGAAGCTGAACTAGAAAGTCACTTGGCTCTCAGATAGTCAGTCTGCTGATCAGCTAGAAAGTCTTACCAAAGCAAGAGAAGGCAGCAGATATGCCAACAGTTGCACAGGAAACTATGCAGAGACAGAGAATTGGAGATAATATCTACTTAACCTTCAGAAATCCCTTGCACATCTTTGTTCCAGTTCCTTCATGAGGTCCAGGCTGCACTTCCTCTGATACTTTATATCTTACAAAGGGATTTTTTTTTAAGTTATCTATTCCCTGAACCAAATGATCCATACCAAAGACTCTATTTCTTTTTCCAATCTCAAGTAAATGCATATTTAATCAGTGTTACAAAATGAGACATTGCCTTCTTTCCTTGTCTCAGTCCAAGGCTTTCTTTGCAATGAAATGGTAGAGGTAGATTTGTGTTTAACACTGCTTTAATCTTTAAGCAAAATTTATTTTTTCTACTTATTAAGATAATACATAGGAATTATACATAATTAGGAAGATACAGAACAGCTCAAGGAAATAAAATTCAGTCACAATTTCACAGCTAACCAATAATCAACACTAATATTTTGGTATATACCTCTTCATGTTCATAACCATATAGGCCCATATTTTAATGAAATCATTTTATATATGTAATAAATTATTTTCACATAGATTTTCTATATATGTAAATATATTATATAAAATGTATATATCTAATATATTCTACCATGTATAATAATTTAATATATTTATTACATATCATTTTATACTGATATATAGCAAACATATATTAGTTTTAGTCACTTGAATATTTCTAGGTTATTAACCATTCTGCTGCAATATCACTTTGAAATGGTTTCATAATATTCCACTGTAAAAATATATAACTTACTGTTGAATCTTTACAGCCCCTTCATCTTTTCACTATTGCTAAAAATATTGCAGTGTGGTTACCAGTGGGGATAGGGAAGGAGGAGGAAGCAATATAGGAGTAAAAGAATAAAGGGATTAATATGGGATTATTTGAAATCATTTGTGTGAAAATTGTGCAGCACTGTAATTGGATCTTTGATTCAACAACAACAACAAAATACTGCAATGAACATCCTCATGGAAAAACATTTTTACTAGTTCAGAGATATTCCATTATGCAAACTCTGGGTTAGACGGTATACACATTACAGTGCTTATTGTCTATTGCCAAATCCATATGCTGTCAAGAGTCGATCCCACAAAGCAGAACTGGATCTCAAATTCTCTTCAAATGACCTTAATTCAACTAGCAACATTCATGAGGTACCTATAGTATGCAAGCTGTATACAGTAGCTACTTCAAATTCTTAGACGATATGTGCTCTATTCAAACAAACAAGTATATTTGACTTCTCTGCACTTCTAAAAATCATCTCAGTGTGTTTGTCGAACTTTCCTAAGAAACTTATTGCCCACTGAAGCAAAGCAGAGACCATGTCCTATGTTTGTCTGCACTTTCCAAGTACTTAGAAAACACCCTGACACAAAGTAGAGACAAGAATAAAGGGCTCTTGAGTCAAAAGATTCCCAATATGCCTCTTGGTTACTTGGGTAGTTCAGTTAATTTCTTGAAGCTTCAGTTTCCTTAATAGTAAAATAGAGACAAGAGAATTTCTCCTATGAAAATAAGGGATAAAAAAGTATAAGACATGTAGAATGAATACCAAAATGATAGAAATAAACTCTTCAGTAATTACTTCAAATGTAAGTGGATTCCACTTATATGAGGTACATAGAATAGTCAAGATCATGAAAATAGAAAGAAGAATTATGGTTACCAGGGGTTGTGGAGGAGGGACAGAGAAGAATAGACATTATTGCTTAACAGGCATAGAGTTATGCCCATTGAGATGGGTAAGACAAAAAGAGTTCTAGAGATGGATGGAGGTTGTACTTAATACTGCTGAATGTACAAGTTAAGGTTAAGATGTGGTTTTAAGATGTGTGTTAAGATGTGGTTAAGATGTGATTTTTACACATATAAAAAATTCCTTCATGAGTTTGTTGTGAGATTTAATACATGTAATGATCAAACATTTTAATTCTTTTCTTATTTTTGACAGTGGGTGCTTAGCTGATGTGAAGGGACCTGATGTCGAGAGACTGTAGCCCAATGGAATATAGTGCCACTTTCTAAAAGTCATAATGAAGAACTTTTACTGACTTCCACATTGGGATGATTCAGTTGCCTCTCATTTTGGATTTTAAAGCTTGGATATGGGAAATATCCAAGATCATTTTGAAGACCACAAAGCAAACTTGAAACCAGGATAACCAGGAATAAACTAGTGTTCCTTCTAGTTCTTCCACTCCATACTTCCAGACTCCTCCTACTTCCAAGGCTCTATCTTTATTCATTCCTCTGTCTATGTGCTAGGATCTGGGGACAGTGTGGTGAGTGAAATCAGGAATGGTCCCTGCCCTCAAGAAACTCACAAAATCAATTATTATAGAGACCAGAGAGAGGGAAGGAAGTTATGGGGAATCCATCTGAAATTCTACCATTTGCTTATGTATTCTAACAATTAGAGACAACACCTCTATTCCTCAATCCTTCCCCCAGACACTGAGAAAAATAAACAAACAAACAAACAAGCAAATACAAAATTGTGTAGCCAAGGTAATGGTGTGTTGCACTTTAATTAAAAATAAAGGCTTGACAACATTATATATGATATCTAATAGTACATCTGCACTATAGTAATTAACACTGCAGCAGTGTCTTCTTACCTGTAATGCTAATTTACAGTGTTCCCAGTGAACTACTTTGATGCACAGCATGTTGGAAAAAGTTGTATTATGTAGGCCAGGAAACTGAGTTCAGACCATTCAGGATATAAGTTGAAGCTGCAGGAGATATCCAGGTTGCCTCTGGCTGCCTCACAGTTCTCCTTTTCATTTTATTTTAATTCACTACAAAATGAGATGAGAGATGTGATGCCCATTTTGTAAGTGAGAGAAGTAAGTGTGGTTGGTGAATGCTCAACGCCTGGTCTCCTGATTCCAACTCTAATGATCTTGATATGAGCAAATGCTCGCATTGTAAAGTTGGCTGTTCTAATACGGCAGATACAGGGTTTTGTAGCAATTTACAGTTAGCCAGGGCCTCTTATTAAGGGACTCATTTCCTCTTTCATTCTGCTGACATTGCAGCATTAGAAGGAAAAAAATTCAGCCACATATTTTTAAGGGGATCTTTCATTCTTTGAAAACGAGCAACAATCCTCTTTATAATACTTGGCATCTTGGTTTGACTCCTTCATTGGTGTCAGATATGGTTCTAAGTACAGGCTTCCTAGATGGCTCGATGGTAAAGAATCACCTGCAATACAAGAGATGCAGGAGACTTGGGTTTGATCGCTGGGTCAGGAAGATCCCCTAGAAGAGGAAATGGCACCCCTCTACAGTACTCTTGCATGGGAAATTCCATGAACAGAGGGACCTGGTGAGCTACATACAGTCCATGGGGTTGTAAAGAGTTGGACATGACTGAGCAGGCATGCACGCACACATGGTGCTAAGTACTAAATCTGAACTTAATTAATCTTCACAATTTCTCCATCACCAAATCCAGTGTGGTACTTAGATCTGTGCTGTTTGCCTCCTCTTGAATGGGAAGCTATGGGGCCAAGCCTGCCTAGAGGCCTTCCACAGGCATACCTGTTCTCCTTGATCTCTGTGGCTTTTTCGTGTCTTGAGGCAAAGAGAACAAGGGAGCCAGAGCTTGATCCCACATGTCTCTGGCTTATACTTTTTTTTTTTTTTTTTAAATTTTTATTAGTTGGAGGCTAATTACTTTACATCATTACAGTAGTTTTTGTTATACATTGATATGAATTAGCCATGGATTTACATGTATTCCCCATCCCAGTCCCCCCTCCCACCTCCCTCTCCACCCGATCCCTCTGGGTC